GAAACTCTGAGTGATCCTTACCTGTTGACATTTGTTCATAACGCAATACAATTACCAAAGCTAAATAATTTTTACCATTTTATAACAAGAAATCTAGAAACTTTTCAAAGATATCTTAATACAGTAACCAACATGCCATCATTCATTTAGCCTTTCATCACTCAATAATATCCTTATGAGTATTTAATATTTTCTCAAGTGAGGGGAAAGTGATGAGTTTCTCAGAAACTATTATTGGCTATCAATAATTGCAGGCTACAGGACAAGAAAATACTAATTCCACAGCTTATGGTTGGTTCCTTGTGTCCCAGCAGAAAACACACTGGTTTAAACTGGGACACTGTGGTGAGGGAAAGAAGCAGACATAAGCATAGATGTGCAAACCTATTTGCTCAACTCTGCTTTCTTCATGTTAGTACATTAATGGAGAAGGGGGAATTCCTTTAATTCAGCAGACTCCAGTAATATATATTTTTTCCTCCATCAACTGTAAGAATCCTGAATTTCTACTCTTTGGACAACACCACAGTACCAATTTACCACCACAGTACCAACACCACCACCAATGTTACCCTGTAAGCACCTTAACAATTTGCTCCCAATAGAAAAAAATTCTACTGATCACAAGAAGAGGAAAATGAACCTCTATGCCCCAGCATCTTTTCTACTTTTCTATTTTCACTGCATCAGATTTAATGACTCATCTTGGTCTTAAAGACTAAAACCTGATCTGTGAAAGCTAGCCTTCGGTAACTCTGACATTGGCACTAAATACATCAGCTTGCCTTATGCCAAGGTTAAATTATGACAAGTCAAACATTTAGCTAAAGCTTAAGAAGAACAAATGAGTTTTCATCATTGTAAATATTCTCAGTACAAAAGCAAAGTTAGCTCAGAGGAAAAAACATGCTAGTTCCAATACCAATTACCATTAATTCACACTTCCACTGCACAGGCTTACCACTAAAGAAAAATAACAAAAAAAAAAAAAAAAAAGAAAAAAGCCAACCACAAACCAGACATCAACAGAACAAACAGAATCCCTAAACATGAAGGCAAACATACTGAAATACTTCCTAGAAGACAGATGCCTCAAGATAAGCAACAGTAGCAAAGGCAAACCTCTAGTAACAGCACAACTAGATAGAAAACTGATCTGAAGGAAAAAATAAAATGAATAAAACCCTGTGGGGAAACAATTTAACAGAGGCACTGGTAACTAATGCTGAGGTCTGGAAAAAAGAACAGATAAAACACACAGGTTCCCTTTCTTATCAGGTCCTATGGCTTTAGGACTTTACTGTTCACTATGAACAGCATGTGGAAAACACTACACTTATCACCAGCACTGTCACAAGTAGAGGATCTCAGCCTGCATTGTTTTACTGCATCTCGTTTGGATAAGGATTTCCAGAAAACCAGCAAAAAAAGCACCAGAGGCCAATAAAAACTGAAAGGAGAAATCATCTTAGTAAGACAGATTATTTAAACTTTCAATTTGCATTTTGCTTACACTACTGCCTATTTAAAACTCACATTCCTTAACCAACAGTTAAAGAAGTGGCTTCATGCAAAAAAAAAAAAAAAAAAGAAAGAAAACAAGCACAAGCAATCTAGCTCCAGCTGGATGGTGGAAAAAAAAAACAACAACACAACAAAACAATAAACCTCCAGCCAACACAAAAAAGCCACTTCACAAGCAACACACACCTCAAAAACAAGATAGGATAGTTAAGATTACAGGTAGGCATTATGGTTTTTATCTTCATATCTTTATGACCACAGAGAAACAAAAGCAGGAACACTGTTGCTCCCAGTTCTTTTGATCAGTGCTGGGGATCTGTGATGATTGTTCAACAGGTAAAACTGAATTTTCGTGAATGCTTAAAAAGTTTTTAATGAGCTTTTTAAAATAGGTCCTTATGCTTATAAAGAGATTCTTAGATGAAAACAGAGATATATACTTAGACATGATATATCTGTTGAAGGTTTAAATCTAGCTATTCTGCTACAAGCCAATAAAAAACTCCATTTGCACCTGCAATAAGTCAAAATATAGCTTACTGAAAAGAAACTATTAGTACAGAACTATTGATGTCAAGAGGAAAATCACCGATGAAGCCTCTTTCTGCTTCAAGACTGAATCTTTTCAAATGGAGGAGAATTTCCTGCTTTTTCTATCATGTGACACAGTAATGACATCATTTTTTCCCCTCTTAATGACAATTTGCTGAACAATTACTTATTAATTAAATATTGATAACATCAAAATAACTGTAAACAATACAGCAAAGCTGCATTCGTGGAATATTTACCATTTGCTGTAATTTTGGCTTCATCAAATATGGTTAATCTTCCCTTGTGCAAGTAACAGCACACCAATCTGCTAGTCTATCTGCTAGTGCTTAGGTAGACTCCAGGCAAAACTCCACTGGATGTCTCCTGAAGTCCTAAGACAATGTGTCTTTGAATTTACTCTAAGTTCAGTTTCAAAAGACATATTTAGTGAGCTGTGCAACGTCTGCAAAACAACTGTCGATTGTTTGTTGCCTTTAGCATTTATTAATAAGAAACGGTATCATTACACAAAATTACAGACATGCTGTATCTGCAATAACCACCACACTGATGCAAACATACAAAAAAAAAAAAAGCCAACACAACAACAAAAAGGCAACAGTATCTCTCTGGAGAAGAGATAAGGAATCAAAGCAAACTAAAAAACAAAAAGCATTCCACTTCCATCAGCCATTTTGCTGAAGAACCTCTGTAAAAAAAAAGATACATATATATATAAGGTTACACTAAGCTTAGACACAAAAATAATTTTGTTCAGCATATATACAAGTTGGGAATACAGATAGACCATTAGTTAACTACTAGTCATCCTTGTATTCAAAAGATTTCTATCGATCACTCTCAGACTATTTCAGATTGTGCCCTCACTGCTGCAAGGAAAAGTAAGACTTACCAAACCAATAGCAGCCTACAATTCCTATGTTAGGTTACAGAAATCAAGTTTTCTTCATGAAGAAAGATGATCCAAAAAGGGGGAAACAAACTGACAGCTTGTAGGATGCATGGATACCTCCCCTGAACTGCATTATGACATAGGTGACATAGGTTTGAAACACCTCTTCACCACGGAGTCCGCAGGAAAACCAAATTACACACTAATGGGAAAACCCAGGATAAATATTTAGATTTTTAATTTCATGCTTCACAAAATCTACAATATGGCTGAGCATTTTGTATGCAATGTGAGCTCTTTGAACAGGTATATTGTGAAGAAAAACCAACTTCTGCTGATAAAGCTGAAACATAGTTTTTCCTTCTTTGTGCAATAAAGACATATGACAACTCAGAGATTGTTTTAAAATGGTCTCATTGGAGAAAGTAAACAAGATGTAATTTGCCAAAAATTAGAATTTTACTGTTGTATTATGCATAGTGAAATTATTTCTAAATTGAAATAGCTGAGATCGAGTTTGACATGTACAACTTCCAGGTTTTGTAATTCTGTGAAATTTATTTTAGGTAAACACATTTACAAGAGCATGAAAAGAACATTGTTTTTTGACTGTTTGTTTTTGTGGTTTTTTTCCTTTTTTTTTTTCCCCTTTAGAAAGACTCTTCTCAATTATGAATCACTTTAGATAATTCATGACATTAATATCTGGCAAAATGCATCTCGGCAGATCACTTATGCTCAGTGACAAGAAAGCTCCACAACAATGTAAAAGCCAGTTACATCACCCAGCAAGTGTTCAGTATTTGACATTTTGCTTTCTCAAGATTACCTGAGTCACATAACTTCTGATAAGCAAGTACAGACATTCATATCAGCAGATAGGCTTCTAGCATTTCTTCCTTGTTTGGACTATGGAATTTACATTACAAGTACAAGAATAAGCCTTTATTTACACAGGAACTCACATTAGCAAATTAAAACCAACTCACGTGCTTTTAGTTTTTATTTCAGTCTAATAACCATTATTTTCACTTAGCTGAGGCAGGTTCCTCAACATCAGTAAGTCCATGGGATGTCAGGGGAATAAAACTGAATGATGGAATGATGGGACTTACAGCCAAGACATACGTGCCAACAGGCGTGTCACAAAAAAACCTGATAGATTTCTGATAAAAGACACCACAAAGCTGAAGCATCACAAAAAACAAAGCATTCAGAGAGTTCACTTTATTTAGGTTTAACAGATCTGTGAGCTTAGAAACGGTACTAAGTTGCCACAAGTTGAATACCTGAGCTGTGTAGTTGATCACAGAAAAAGCCAGGTAAGCACTTTTCTTGGCTTATGAAAGCCAAATGAAAGGAGCTTTACATGGAAAAAAATCAATAAGATTTGTGAAGTTTATCTATTTTACCTTACCACAGCAACAACAGTACTCCAAGAAGCATCAGACAGTAAATCTGAATACTTAATTAACATTTTTCTTTGCTGAAACACAGCCTAGAGAAGTGATACCTTGCAAGGTCTAGCCCATCAAACCTCAACACCCACCAGGCATCCACATCCCAAAGGCCTCCCTGACTACACACAGCATTTGGGTCAATTCAGTAACATCACCCAACTCACTTGTTCAAGACTGAACACAGTGTTGATACACAGAGTCAGATGCTGGCCAGATTCTGGTTATCTAGCTCATCTTAACCCAATAAAGCTGCTGTACAGATCCAAAAGAAAACAAGGACAGTCCTGATCTCGGTGCACACACCCAACTCCTCAATTTCTGCATGAATAAGGTGGCACAGTTCTGGTTTAACCTAAGGCCATGTTTAAGATATAATTAGTGCTCAAGTTAGAGGAAAATGGGGAAACACACACCTTTCTGAACAGTGAGCCAGTATCAGATTTCACAACTAACATCCACAGTCTTCAATCTCCTTACTTTGAAGCCAAGACCATGACAAACTGTCAACCCGCACACCCTGAGCTCCTCAAATAATTACCATTAGTTTGTGACGAGTAAAGTTTACCCACCTTCTGCTTTCAGGACTGCTGAAGGAAAGCCACTGCTGCTAGAAACAATGCCAGCTAGAAAGAAGAAATTAATACCCCTTCTGTCTAGAAGAGGCTGTTTCTGGTGAAGATGAGACAGTCTCAGCAGCACAGGTACCCTGGAAGATCTTGCAGGTCAGCGTTGTCTGTCCCAACCTGGAGACATGGATGTAACAGCTCCCCAGGGACCCTGAAGGCCAATGCCTTAACAAGCAACAGAAACACCATGGAGACGCAACTGATGATGAAAACAGAATGGCTGCACTCAACAGTCGTCAGGCCACCATTTACCTGTCTGATTTGCATGAGTGCTCCTGCTAACATTTCAAATACCTTCTCCTTCTGAAGGCATCAAGTTTGAGAAACAGCATCAAGCAAACAGAAACCATGTACACCAGTAGATATATCCTTACAGCTCAGAACACCTTTACGGTAGTGGCTCAACTTCATTTTCTACCTCAGTAGGACCCACTCATGAAATGGACATCATCCCCTACCACAAAGCTTTTTCAGAATGACTTACATACAATACTAAAACTTTCTACATTTCACGCTATTGCCTCATGCACAATCTTTACTAAGGACTCACCCAATATAGCCCTTAGTCTAATACAGCCCTTAAAGAGTAACAACTGCTTGTGTCTCTCTGATGTAGAAAGCCAAACCAAGCAATAACCAACCTCCACATTAGAAAAGGCTCACATGAAGCTATAGGTCTGATAGTTACCCCAGCTAATAATGTTGTCTGCTTTGATCCTGCCTATCAGTTAGACTCACATAAATTAGAAAATGCAATTCTACCCCAACCTGCCTGGGGCTTATTCATTTTTAAATGTACTCAAAAAATGAAACTGAGGGCAATACAAGCCAGGGCTTGGAAAGTGCTCTTCTCTGTCACCTCCCAAGGGGTCCCAGCTCCTAACAGATTTTAATTCTCAGAGGCTGAAAAGAAAAAGAACCTGCCCACACACTCATCAGAAATAGGACAGGTTGTTACTATTTGTTCAATGCTACATGAAGAGAGGGAGAAATAAACCCAGCCTCTTTGCAGTATTGAGTTTCAAAGAAGCTACCTTCTCCACAGCCTTCCATTTTGAATGAACAGAGTGAACAATCAATTGGCTGGTCAGATAACATCACAATCCACTTCAAAAGGAAAATCATACCTTTTATAGGTTAATTCAGATTTTATTCAAAATAAATGAATTACATAACAGGATTTCAAATTAAAATGAAACTTAGCATAAAACACAGTGATTCCTAATGTTATCCATATGAGCAGATGTTCCTTCACATGAATACCTATATAGCTCATGCAAGTTTGCTCCCATGGCTTTGAAAGGATAATTGAAAATACAGTGGTACTTCTTTGTATGTGCTCCTGGGCTCTTTCAGGCACTCTCAACTAAAGGAAACAACCTCTTTGCTCTTTTTCAAGCCTGTGTACAGGAGCTGCTCCCAGCATCATCGGATCGTCCTGTAGAGGAAAAAGGCAGCTGACAATATACATGCCTGCCAGTAGATGGAGCAGAATAGAGCTGCATAAGCACCATATATATTGCTATTGCTGTACAGCAACTTCTAAGCCAGAACAGCAACAGCTGCCAGATTACCCGTGTGGGAATACATGTACCAGGAAACAAGTCCCTGCACAGAGGCAGTGAAGGTATTGAGATCAGGGAGATGTCTGTGCAAAGGAACTGAACCACAGCCCATCCAGCAAGGAGATGCTGCAGGAAGCCTTGGCAGCGACCAAGCATGCAGATAGGTGTGACACCCGGAGCCTATCAGCAACTGTCCCTAATCAGATCAGGTTAGCAATGACCAACCCTTGCACTAACAGCTCCCCACATCCCATGGACCTGGGGAGACCCTTGTGAGAAGTGTAGGAGACAGGGAATACATCCGAGCAGGGGAAGTGGAAGATGGAATAGCAGTACATTCATTCCCCTGACAGCAGCAGAAGATGCAAGGATAATACTGAAATTCTTTATGCTGCCTTTAACTGTTCCATTTGGGAATCTTTGTTCAGAATTTCCTTCCTGAGCCTCCGGGCTACAGAAGGCAAATATAAGCAAAGCTTGCACCAGTTTCCAGTGAACAAACACAAGCACTCTGCTGTTTAAGGGCCATTACAGGTAACTTTTTACAGACTGACACCTTCAGCTCTAATATAATTCCAACACATCGCATCTTATTTTTAATGTCCTATTCCCAGTCTAAAACAACACTAACACCTTTGTACTATATGTAGCACCTGATACCTATTTTCTATTCTATACACCATACCTTACAGCTCAGTAAAAAGCTTCTGGGACCTATGAGCAGGTAACTCTGCCAACCAGAATCAGGCAGATTTTCATTTCATTTAGCCAATTGTCTTATTCTCCAAGCATTCCCCAGAAGGCACCCATCATGAGCGGCTGTAGATTGTCAGTGCAATATATAATCTAACACACTGAGCACTGAACAAAATTTACCTAGAGTCCAAAATGTTTAGCGCAAATGAAGATTAATCACCTGATAATACCAGAAAATCCGAGTAATCGTATTACTTGCTTCCCAGGGCACCATTTCTTAAGAGTGCATTAAATGAGTGAGTAAAGTAACTGTTCTTACATTTTCAGTTATGACTAACCCAAGTTTCATCATTCTTTAGAAACACTCAAAAAACTAGAAAAAGAAATTGAGTTAAACATTAAAGTAAAATCTTTAGTAAGGAGGAGGGATGTCTCTGATCAGTGTCTCGCAGCTACAAAGAAAGCACTTGAAGCAAGGCAAGTGAGTGTAATCATCCAAAAAGCAGGAGTTAAGAGGTCCAGGAAACCACAAAGAGAGAAAAAAAGAGAGAGAGAGGGAGATAAAGAGATCTAGAAAAGACAAGTTGAAATACAAGTGTCCATTAGAACTAGTGAAGGTGTCTTTGTGCTGAGTTTTGCAACAGACAACCTCTTCAGCAAACATGTGAAGGGGGCAGCAGCTCTTAGCATCCATGCACAGTGCAGCTGTCTAGAAGGCACAGTATCACCACTGAACATCATCATTCACATCTGAGGTGATTTACCTGTTACTGTTTCAGGCAATTCGTAACACATTTAGAAGTAGGAAGAGGTGGGGAAAAAACCTTCCAATTGGGTATATTCTTCTTAATTGTTCCCCATCTCACATTTTAGCCGTTTTGCTATGAACAAATCACACAAGTTTAAGTGTCTATTTGCCAAAGCTGCAATTCGACTAAAAAACAAAGGTGGAAAAGAGTGGTTGTTGAAAGTGCCTTGCAAAAGAAGGAAGAGATCCTGCTGCATTTAAATCTTAGGTGGGAACAACACACGTCCTTCACTTGGGCTCTGCAGAATGTTGCCACTCACACTAGGGTTTTGCCAAATGGAGAGGTATGTTCCTGCATAATTGAGGTCACTGCTCTTGTCTCAGAAGGATGTTTACCACCCTTAGTAACAGAGCAGCTGAAAATTAAAAGGTACAATAAAAAACATGTTCAGAGAAGAAGAAAAAAAGATGAATAAAGGTCCTTTTGATGTTGCTGTCATTTATAAAAGTGCTTAATGTCTGCCTATACTACTAAAAAGGCAAGCAGAGAATACTACTTTACAGAAAGTACGTCTTAGGACCAGACAAGATGCTGGATAAAATGGGACCAAGTCAACAACGTTACGAATATAACGTTAATAGAAGTCATTATGAGCTGTTTAATTTAGGGACTAATTGTGAAGCCTAAGGAACTTGCATGTGCAAGCTTTTATAAAAACTGAATCAATCCGGTTTTACTTACTGTCGGGAAATATTTAAATAAACTAATTTGAGAGCTGAATCTTTAAAATAGTCATTAGATAGTATGAAATCCATGAAAGGAGGAGATGTTAATAGCAACATCCCTCTCAAGGATGTTCTTCATACATTCTTCTAATTGGAAAGGAATTTTATCACAGACAGCTGATAACCCCTCCCCACTAGCATTCTTACGCTAGGTATCAGCATCCTCCATGTCTCTATCAACTAATCACACTGCTGCTTTTCTAACACCATTGCAACACAAGCTTTCTTGTATGTAACAGGCACATCCCAGATGTTCTCCTGCCATTTGAAAAATCTGAGATAACAAGCCATAAATCAGTCATTTTTAATATCCACAAGACAGCACTGAGTGAATCAATTCCATTACTATATATACATTTTTTAAACATACCTGCTATTGAGAAATTAATAAAGGGAAGAGTAGCTAAGACAAGCAAGATTCATTATGTTCTGCTGGTGTCTGCCATCTCTTTCCTCACTGCAAAATGCTTCCCACATGCATGGGAAGAACTATATCCAAACTTCATACCAGGAAAAGAACTACAGAGATGCAATGCAAAAATGGTCATTGTGGACCTAAATATCAGGTGACTAATTTTTGCCCACAACATTCTTGTTGAAAATTTAGTTTACCCAGTTACCTGTAAGCACAGAACATATGCATAGGCATAGTTTCTATGGGGTAATGTATTTACAAAAAGGGAAACAGAAGGGAATCAGCTTGCCTACCAACCCTGTCACTGTTATTTCAACTAAAATCAGTCAGCAAATTTCAGAGCGCTGAAGCAATTTTGAACACATGACAACAATGAAATCCTTAATGAAACATCTTTAACTAAAGTAAAAAGTTATTTTCCTATTTGCATTATTAAAAAAGCACACGCATCAAAATGTGTATTTTCACTGGGCATTTATTTCTGTAGCTTACAGCTAATTATTTTAGTTTGCAGTTATTAATTTATACACAAAGGTACAAGTCTGCCCTCTAGCGCCTAAAATATGCAAACTATGTGATATTAAAGTAAAGCTTTTTTTTTCTTTGAGTTAAAAGATTTGTATCTGGATGTTTCCTGCTTCCATAATAAGGTGGGACAGACAAAAAAAGTATGAAAGGCTTTACTCGCATCACTGAAACAAATCGTCACGGGGGGTCCAATAAATTTGATCTCATCTGATAAAACAAATCTGCCTTGGATTTTTTGGGCACTGTGAAAGCCATACAGTGTGTTAGAAGAAGGTAAACAAAATACCTGAAGAAGGAAGGTCTTGAGCTATACTGACCACTGATGGAAGACATGCAAACTACTTGGGATAGGACACAGTCTACAGGTGAGCTAAAAAGTAAAAGCCAAATCAAAACACAAGTGGGGAAACTGTTCTTTTCTGTGATCTGAAAGAAAAAATGCAAATTCAAACACCAAAAAAGGAAATCAGAGGAAGTGCACCTATATGTTTCATTTCAGGTTGAATACGAGGAGAAAAGGAAATACTCTCGACTGATTAGAACTGTAAACATCTATCATCTCCATGTTATAGTTTAAGGCTAAGAACATTAAACCTCTATTGGATGCTTGAAAAGCTGCAGAAATGCCCTGAGAGCAAAAGCAGGAACATCCCTGCCCTCCCTGATTGAACAGACAGCTTCATAGATAGTTGTGTAGTACTTGGGGAAGTGGTGTCTCATACCTCCACATCATGACATCTGTGCAACACTGAGGCACCTAGCCATGGCAAGTTAAGATTGCATGACTGCCCATTTAGCACGTTGCAAATTCTGAATCTGGTTGTTTCTGCTTTCCTTCACTTTATAAGTCAAATGATGGGAGTTGAAATCCACAAAGCTGAAAAAAACATCCACCTCTAACTTTGTTAAAGAAGTACACAGCAGTAAATGACCACTATTCCTGGATATTTTTCCTCTGCTGCTTTGTTTTTAATTAGTTGGGATAGGCCCTCCCTTGAATGAGAGGGTTCAGTTGCATGCTCTGGCACTCAGAGTTTAGGATGAAGCTTGAACAGCACTTTAAAAACCATGTTCTTCATCGCATCCTGACCCACATGTAACAAAATTACCAAGGCAGCTGGAACTGCCCTCCTCATCTACTGGGGAAGGAGGATCGGTGCACATTGAAGGATGACAAGAAACTCTTGGGTTCCTGCATAAGCATTGGGTACAAAGCAAGCTTCCCGGCCTGAGTCTGGCAGAAGCACAAAGACATTCACAGAAAACCTTCCTAGTGTTGACTAGGAAGGGCTCAGATTTCACTTCTATAATTTCAGCAGCAGAGGGTGTGTTTGTGTGGGGGGGGAGGGGGGTGGAGGGGCAGGGATGGAGTTTTCAAACCTCCTCTTATTTATTATTCATTATATAAATATGTACGTTAAATTATTATGTTATTTATGTTATATATATCTATTCACACAGAACCTGAACAAAAAAAAGTGACTCTACAAAAGATGAAAATTAAAGTTGCTAAATTTGTTACACTTCTACAGAACGTTTTTGGTTTTTTTTCTACCTAAATTGTTAGGTCTTCTTACATGCACCAGCAACCTGTGTGTTATAAAAACCAGTACACTGATGTCTCATTAATTCTGCCTATGTTACTAAGTAGAGATATTTCAATATCACCACAGTCAAGTACTTGTACAACTTTATTATTCTGAACAATACTCATTTCAAATTCTCATCTGGATTTCTTTAAGTACATGTATTTGAATGGGGCTGTCCCACATTAAAACTCCGTGCTGCTGGATTGCTATTCAGCACACAAAATGGATCAAGTAGAAACGCATGAAATTGCATTAGGAGTAAATGTGCTTTCTCTAAATACACACTCCTAAAAGTAGCTAAAGAAAACTATCATTTTCTGACTCGACAGATAAAGAGAGCACTGACAGGAGGTTAACAACAGGAGTTTTATCAGCTCCATGACCATAGCAGAACTGACAGAAATGTAAGTGAACAGACGGTATCTCCAGCTCTGTGTCACCAAACCTACCCACCAGATTCTGTCTACAAGTCCAGTTTCCATGCATGTGACCCATTTCCCTTTTTCCCACCCCAGCAGAAAAGGACAGCAGAGACAGAATCAGGCCCAAGACTCACTTTTAACCCCAGGAATCACCGAATTAACTTTGACATCCCAAGCTGAGTTTACCAGAGGACAAACAAAGAAAATTCCTGTCATTCCTTGAGCTTCTGCACTCAGCCTATTTGTCAGAGAAATCTTACAAGTAACCTACAGCCCAACAAGCCTTTTTAGTATGATAAAGTTGAATTTAATGCAATTCCTCAGCTGTTCATTTCATCTCTTTCTGGCATTCTTCCCAAGTAAGTCTACAAGCCAGAAACTCTCAAGACTAATTTCTAGTTTTGCAGGGATGCTTTGCTAGAATGACAGGTGTGCAAAACTGCTGCAAAATTCCTATGCCTGTAATAACCACTGAGACATTTAATAAGCCAAAATAAACACAAATGCAAACAACTAGTGCTTGGGAGGACAATTCATCTTTAGAGGCTCATCTCTGCCATGTTCAGCTCAACAGGATCCTTATCCCTATTCAGTTCTCCTTTAACACCGAAAATAAATTGGAAAAGCATGAATATGTCCTCATAACAGAAAGAAAGAAAATTAATGATAAAAATCTTCACCATTGTTTTGCTCTGAAGTCAACTGACAGAATTCAGCATTAAAAAAATAGGTCTCTTATGAAAGACTGAAGAGCAGTACAATGAGCACAAATACGTGAATATTATTTTTTCCTTAATTTCACAGAATACTACTAAATACTGAATGACAACACATGGCAAAAAAAGAAAGTATCCAAAAAAAAAAAAGAGTAGAATCACACTCATTCAACAAAATGTAATGCAGCAAAATACTCTTTGATACTGAAATATATATTTCCATTATTGAAGCTGTCAGTTTCAAAAATTAGCTAGACTGCTTCTAATTTTATCCCTTATGATCAATCAAATTATAGAAGATAGTTTAAATAATAGGCCCAGATAGTAAATACATACACACATGCCTGCAATTTAGCTTTAAGAAAATATTTTGCTCTGACATGCTGTTCCAGTATCAATCAAGAGCTTTCTAGTCTCCTATTTCCATGTGTATAAAAATAAATATACTCTTCGAAACCTTGCCTTAAAAGTTACCCTCCAGTTTTATTGGACAGCCATCTCACACTAGCCATAAAGTAGGAAAAACAAAACAAAACAAAACCATGAAAAACTTGAATGCTAGGCACTCTGAGAATCTAAAAAAGCAAAGAAACACGTACCAAACAGAAATCGGAGGAATAATATTCTTCTAAGGTAATTTAGACAGGACTTGTTTTCCCGGTGTTATACATTAATCCATATTGTTGTGTATGTTTAAAAGACATCATCCATACCCTACATCAAGCTCTCTTCTAAAATCAGTAGCTGTGCACAGATAGCAGCAAGGGAAACCTATGCATAGAAAAGTTATAATCAAGGTAAATGGCAGGAAAAGAAAAATTATTCTTTTCCAAACTTGTAACAGCATAGCAACTCTGACAGAGCCCATGGTCTTTACTAAGAATAACACCTAAATTTGATTTCTGATCCAAACTAATTTCAAGGAAAGTAGAGAATCTCAGAAATACTGCCTTTTTTGCAATGTCTCTCCAGTCCAATTTAGTCTCAA